TTTTCTATCCCCGTGTGAAATCTGTCACCTCATCCGCCCTCCCTTTCCCAGGAGAGCTCCTGGGGATGGTTCTCCTCAAATGGGAGTAACACAGGGAGGTGAATTAAGAAATTAGGGAAGTCTGACCTGTCCCGGTGACATTCACAGTGACGTTCACAGCCCGGCTCCTGGGGGACGGGATCCACCTCCCGCTCACATTCTCCTCGTACCCGCAGGTGAATTTCCCGGCTTTGTTGGGACCGGCCTGTAGGATGCTGAGCACAGAGACATTCACAGAGCCGGTACCAGGCTCCATGGTGCTGATCTCAGACCCCATGTCCCTGGGGACGATCTCGACTCCGTCCTTGTAGAAGTGAAATCTCCACTCTCTGGCATCTCTGGAGACTGCGCAGGTGATGAGCAGGGGGAGTCCTTCACTCACTGCTCCAGAAGGGGGATCCAGCCTCAGCACTGGCTGGGGAGGGGGATCTGTGGGGAGCAGCAAAGGGGAGGGGTCATCTGGGACATGGCAGTGGGGGAAGTGTAGATGGTGCCCAGAATTCAATTTATTCAGCGCTGACCTGTCCTCTCTCTCCAGAGCCTCTTGCTTCACCTCAGGATCCTGAGGGTCACCCCACAGAAATAAGTGAGAGCCGGGCTAGGGGGTGGAGATGGCTTCCTTCAGATATTATATGGGCTGGGATGTGGGGGTCAGAAGGTGGCCTGGGTCACCAGGATCTGACTTGTTTTCTGTCACTTCTCCGTTACTAATGCCCCAACCCTGATATTTATGGAGCCCTCTGTAGACAGAGGGGGCCCAGGGCATCTGGTGATTTCTGCCCAGTTGGGCCAGACTGTGAGAGCTGGATGCCCTGATGGGATTCTACCTTCCCAGGGGGTAGATGTGCAAGGTGACCATGTTGGATGCCCAGGTCTGTGTCCAGGCTGGTGGAGAGGGACTGGCTCTTCCCAACTTGGATCTCCCGGCCGGATCGGGGTACCCGGTACAGACAGGTGCCGAACCCAGAGCCCCCAGCTGTGCAATGCTCTAGGGATGAGTGAAGCTGCCCCTGAATGAGCCCCCAGCTGAGGTGCTCCATGCCCCCACCATGTTGAATTGGATCCTTCAGCTTTGTGACCCCAGGGGCAGCCCAGCATGTGAGGGGAACAGGCTCACTGGGCAGGTCCCCGGGGAGATCAGGACTCAGGGAGAGGGAGGGGGCCACAGGGGGGTCTGGAAAACAGGGGTCAGGGTTAGATGCAGAAGGTCCAACCTGGCCAGGATCTCTGGAAGGCCTGGGAGGTGAGGGCCAGATGTTACCAGGTCAAATTCATCTCAGGAATTAGAGGGGGATGGAGACTTCTCCATGGGAAACTCCCTGTACCCCTGTAGCTCACTGAGCTCCAACTCTGCACTGTGCCCACATGTTACCCAGCAGGAGACAGCGGATTATCCATCTCCGGCGTATTGGTGCCAACATGGGGACTGGGTAAGATGCCATTAACTGATCCATCTCCGGATAATAAACATGAATTAAGCGGTAGGTCTGGAGGCTTAGAATAGACAATGTAGCGAGCTCCACACCGCAGTGCTCAGGGCTGTGAGCTTCCCCAAAGAAGTGCCCTCTAAATGACAAATTTACTGATCAGCTGGAAGCCTCTCCCTTCTGTAGAGGAGCTCAACCCCACCACAGGTTTAGGAGGTTTAGGTTGGATATTAGGAAAAACTTTTTCACTAGGAGGGTGGTGAAGCACTGGAATGGGTTACCTAGGGAGATGGTGGAATCTCCTTCCTTAGAGGTTTTTAAGGCTCGGCTTCACAAAGCCCTGGCTGGGATAATTTAGTTGGGGTTGGTCCTACTTTGAGCAGGGGGTTGGACTAGATACCTCCTGAGGTCTCTTCCAACTCTGATATTCTATGATTCTATGACACCAGGTCCTGACAGAGACCATAGATGGGGGGATTTGGAGTTTGTTCCATTAAACCTCCCTAAGTTTTCAATGTTACTACTGACTGGCAGCCCCCGAACTCCAAAGTAGCACCTATGTCTCCTCCAAACACACCAGGGGATCCAGAGACCCAGGGAGTGACACTGAGCAGAGACAGGGATTGAAACTGACCCAGTGAATGGCCCCATCTGGAGCTGAGAAACTGAGCTGTGTCACACCCGGTACTTGGAGCAGAGATACCCAGCCAGAGGGTGAGCAAACAGCAGGAGACAGGGGGTATGAGCATGTCAGGGTCACAGATTCACCACTTACAAATATCAAGTACTGTGAGCTCAGAGTGAGCTTGGGGGCAGATGGACGGACTGAAGTGGGGGAGGGTGGCAAGAATGTTCTTTAGAATTGATGTCCTACTCAAGTAAATAATAACATCCCCCCCCAGTATGAAATAAGCTCCTGCCCCCACAGCCAGACTCACCCAGAGATTCTCCTGCCTCCACTTCATCCCAAGCTGCTCTGCACAGTTCTGGAGCCCCCTTCCAAAAGGCTGCAGTGGTGCCAGGGAGGAGGGATTGAGACCCATGAAGCGCACTGGGACCCGTCCTAAGGACCTGAGAGTGGGGTCCTTGAGTGGGCAGATCTGGAGCCCAGGGCAGGGGGAACCAGGGTGTCTGATGCTCCCTCTTCATCACCAAGGGAGACAGATGAAGCAGCTGCCAGTAATGCTGGCATGTCAGGCCGCATAGGATGGTCTGTCGGGATACCCAAGGCTTGGGGTTGCCTGATTGGCTGGCACCCATTATCTAAACCAGGAATTGACCTGGCTGGGGGCCGTCAGAGCAGCTGTGACGTCCTGCTGCTGCATGGGACCCTGCTCTTTGCCTGGCTCTTGAAATCTGCCTCCAGCCCTGTTCCTGCTCTGCTCCCATCCTGCTTCCTGCCTTGCTCCGAACTTGTTCCTAGTTCCGGCCCTGCTCAGACAATCAGGCCAGACCACCTACGTCCTGGCTCCCGGCACCCAGAGGGGGGCAGAGGGATGCACCATCACTGGTGATTTTTCAGTCTGGACGAGGTGTCTTTTCTAAAAGAGCTGCCCCAGTCCAAGCAGGGTTAATCCAGGGCTGTTCCATGGCCTGTGTTCTGCCAGGAGTCAGACTAGACGATCAGTCGCCCCCTCTGGCCTTGTAATCGATGTTTCTGTGATACTGACGAATGTTACAGTCCTGGCCCTAAATCTGGGTTTCAGTTAAACACCCCAGGTGATGAAATACTGCTATAAACTGAAGCAACGTCTATTGGTTCCCTGAGAGCTCCCCTCCCTCCCTCCCCATATCACTGCCAGCACCCCTCCCCCTGCACCTCCAAACTACCAGGGTGCCCAAGGACCCAGGGATTGGCACTGACCGGAGACGGGGGTGAAACTGACCCAGTGGGTGCCCTTGTTAGGATATAGATATTGAGGCCTGTCTGCAAAGGCCTAGACTTTAAGAATTTAGGTGTATTCTTATCACTTAGCTAGTTATAGACGTACAAAACACGAATCAAAATCACTGTCTGCCTGTCTATGGGCCTTCGCTCACTATGACAGTCTGAGGCCTTGTTCTTAGGCTAAGGCCTTTGGCTAAGTAGCAGAGACAGCCATAAGCCGGGAAGCGAACGGTCACATCCTCACATCCCAAACCAGCCCCACTGAAATAAGGTGGGATGGGCTGTTAGGAAGACAATCCTGTCCTGATAGTGCCCATCCCCACCAGATAAAGAAACAGATCTTAAGATGGTTAGAGAGAACTTAGTTTGATAGCATCCAGTCTGAGAATTCACTTATCAATAGCTGGGATGTGAAATCCTCATTTCTGTGTTGTTCTATCACTGTAGTCCCCACTTCCCTATTGTTTGTCTGTATAATCTCTGTCTGGTTAGAATCACAGAATATCAGGGTTGGAAGGGACCTCAGGAGGTCATCTAGTCCAACCCCCTGCTCAAAGCAGGACCAAATCCCAACTAAATCATGCCAGCCAGGGCTTTGTCAAGCCTGACCTTAAAAACCTCTGAGGAAGGAGATTCCACCACTTCCCTAGGTAACCCATTCCAGTGCTTCACCACCCTCCTAGTGAAAAAGTTTTTCCTAATATCCAACCTAAACTTCCCGCACTGCAACTTAAGACCATTACTCCTTGTTCTGTCACCTGGTACCACTGAGAACAGTCTAAATCCATCCTCTTTGGAACCCTCTTTCAGGTAGTTGAAAGCAGCTATCAAATCCCCTCTCAGTCTTCTCTTCTGATTGTTCTGTTATTGTTTCTGTCTGCTGTATAATTAATTTGGCTGGGTGTAAACCAATTAAGGTAGTGGGGTATAATTGGTTAAATAATCATGTTACAATATGTTAGGATTGGTTAGTTAAATTTCAGTAAAATGATTGGTTAAGGTATAGCTAAGCAGAACTCA